CAAGAAACGAAGGAGACTACACGTAACACTTATCAAAGTATTATCAGTGTACTCGATAGTAACTATTTAAGTGTTTTAATTTGTTAACCAATAGCAGAAAGGTACGTAATCAAGGGTACCCAAAATAAAATTTATTTATTAAGCTTTTTCATAGATTCTGCTACATGTTATTATAGATTATTGCATATATTTCTAAAAGATTGGACCAAACATTTATAGTATCTGTTCTCATGTAAGTGCTTAGTACTCTATAATGAGGTTATTTGTCATTACTTATGTGAAATATCAGTGGCGGAATCGAAAATACTTTGCCAAGGATAGTTTGGTGCGTAGACAGTGACAGGTAGCCATTGTTGTCAATCGACCACTGGAAACACAGCAGGGGTCCTTGTAGGCTTCGTGAGTTCTTCTATATTATGAACTACCTAGTATAAGTCGCCTATTATTGTATATGAAATATATGAAAAGCCTTGTTTAAAACTCATACTCATAATTGAAGCCGGAACGATTTAAGCCAAAACTTTCAACACAGCACATCGATAAAAATAGGATTTGACATCATTCCCGATGCATTGCAAAAAAGTAAGTCTACTAAGTATCCTCAATAAGGATTGAAGCAAGTATCACCAGCTTTTTTTTTTTTAGATAGAACATGTACAAACTGTGTTTTACGGGACGGCACCACGGACAATCAATGTGTTTGTATTTATAAACGAACTCTAGCCTAAAATGAGAAAAAGGGCTATGAGAAACGTAACATATGGGCAGACATTTTGATAGGTACGCTTCAGACATTGACGCAACGCTCAGTTTTATGTTGTACATTATAGCATAAAAGTATTTCAACGACTATAAACTATCTAAACGTAAAGAACCCTGAAATGGCTTATATATTAAGTATATATCATAAATCTCTGGATAGTCAATTTAATCGTACCGTAAATTTACGATGGTTACAGAAAATTGCACTGAAGATTCTTATAGACTGACTATACGTACTGCTAGCTAAGGTATAATATTTTATGTAGGCGCGAAGCTGGACTGAGTAAGATAAAAAATAAGTGGGTACAATGCAACAAAGCGTTTAAACCGATACCGTACACATATATGAACATTTGCGGTGTAAAGTATCGCTAGCAAATTTAACTTAATTTTACGTTCTGAATACTAAAACGAACGATCGCAAGTTGAAGGCAATTGTATTGGTAGCGATCCTAATTAATAGAGGATTAGCTAATCATCCCCTGGTATCTATGAACTTTATAGTTACTCAGCAAAAGAGTAAGCACTTGCAGCCCCGCTCATTGCTGTCTAGTCCATAAATTTCGTTATTTACAGAGGTTTAATAAATTCCTCTCAATAAACATCAGCACTTCGTCTTCTTATAGATACTGTTTATTTGCTTGTTTAGTACTTTACAGTTACGCTAAGTGTTGTCTTACAAGATGGAATAGGTTTGATAGAGACATTTTAAACATCCTCACGCTTAACCCAATATCAACTAAATACTTCACGACAAGATAAATATTCGTATAGTACACAGGGTACTACTTTTTAGGATCCCCAAAGAATTCGTTACCATCATTGAATTCTGCGGGTAGTGACCGCATCGATGCCGTCTGTTCGCAACCGCAGGTATCAAACGCAAGCCTGCTTTGTGTTATGTGCTCCCATGTTGACTGATCATTGAAGTAAGGCCCTGCTCATGGTTCCGTGCTATCGTCACGTCGTTCCTAGCCGTCGGTTGCATAGGCACGCTCCCTAAGACACGAACGTTGTCGAAAGTTACCACTACCACAACTACTACGACCCAGCAATGAGTGCACAGTGGATCTGGTGCACAACTACGATTAACAAGCCTCGGGCTGAATCGAAAAAATAGACCGTGGCCAACAGTTGACCTCCTAGAGTACGGTCTACCAATGTACTCCCCATTACAATACATGTTGAAAGGCATACCCGGTCACGCAATAATGTCATAAACGCTTCATCGATATGGGCAGATTGCACAACTCACAAAAGATTAATACGTACATCAGCTCGTACTTTTTAATTTTTGCACGCCAAGTAGAGGTTGAATTTAACTGAACATTACTATAGAACGACCCATATTAGTAACAATGATCGCTCCTTGATATATTGTTTCTTTCAATTCAGGGTTCATACATTTGGCCAGACCTCTGAAGTCAGATGTACATAACGACTTTCAAATAATTTTTGTTCTACGCTGGGTGTAACTGAATGAAAACCTAGAGCTTTCACGTAACAGGAAAAACAAGAAAGAGCCAGGAAGTATGGCGTCAGTACCAAGACTAAAGAGCGGATATTCACTGTGGGCATTTATTTAGGATCACTTTGATAAATAGGGTCCTACTGATCCCTGGTTCGTATGCCGGTGCCTATTACATAATTACAATTAGATACCTCTGCAGGCAACAATAAGGCAATCTACGATCATGATGTGTTCTAAAATATAGAAACAAAAAGATGAATATAACGATTCTATCATTTATATGAAAAGTATGTCATATATATATACATATATATGACATACTTTTCAAGTAATAGGTTCAACAGGTTTTTGGCTTGGTACATTTTGATTTCGATACAGAGCCTAGATTTTTATAATTTTCGTTTACCCTATAGTTCAAACTAATTATTACTATTATTATACCACTACCGATCCTACAAAAAGAAAAAAAATCAAATATCTACTTTATCTGATTTTATACACTAAAACAATACAGGGTCTCGTATGATCACCATTTTCTGAGATGTCCAAGCCTTGACATGGGTACTAAATACAAGTGTAATCTCAAGCTTTTCGTAGCCGTCATTGGAATTCTCGATATCATTGTACAATTTTTCCTACTTGAATAAGTGGTTCTATCTCATCTCAACGGCGATTTTCGGACTTGACGTAAGTAGCATTTATATAAAGACCGTAAGTTACACAAATGGAAATGTTTCAATATTTAGATTTGAGACCCGCTCCCAAAGCACTAAACTAAGGTGCACACGCAACTGTCCTTGAATATTACCTTGCTAAAGGCAAACATTCAGGCAAAACATCTTCCGGCGATAAACCTACATAGGTCTCAGGCTTGATCGAAAATTGTTAATCGTACGGTGAGGACAAATTGACTAGGTATTGAAGACACTAAGCTTCTAAACGAGCCAATGAGCCATCATGACAGTATAATTCGAAGAAATTATGCCACTGCAAGTACCTTGATTACCTTACGGCCAAACCTACTTAACATTGCTATCGAACTCGATTTCTCTCTAGGGTGACGCCATTCACTTATCTAGTCTTTTTGTGGCTCATGGCAAATATTGAACAAATATAGTTATGATCCTGTGCCCCAGGCATTTTTTTGTTTATTCCGCAAATTGCGCTTGTCAAAACCCACGTATGTTTGACTGGCCTGGAATCAATTCACATGGAGTCTATTTTTACTCAGTTTTCGCACTTTCAGTATTTGGGCTATAGTCTATAACACGCTACACGTAAAACGCCAGTTTTAGCCGGGTCCCGTCCCTGCCGATCTGACATTTTAATCTTCGTTCTAGAAACGTTTGCACTATCTAGGTATTGTGTTTTCGCCTAAGACCTTATTACCTTATGCTTACCGATCTTTCGTGAATTTCCGTAGTGCTGCGGCCTTCAAAGGACAAAAGCTTGACCACTGAGCATCTTCAATATTAAAACACGTTTTTTTTTTTTTCTAAACCTATATCTTCTGAAGTAAACTCAATCAGTTTTCTCACAAGATCTTAGAAGATAGGAGTATTTGCTTAAACATTACTCAATTTCAAAGCTTGCCAGATTTACTCTCAAAGTCAGCCTCCAAGTTATTCACGTTAACTAAAATAGAACAAGAAATGCATTACTATTAGCGTTAATTTGCTGGTTTCTATTTGATTAAGAGCCTGAATTACAGAAACCAAACAACTTATTTGCTTTGCTATGAGAAATGAAACAACAGCGCTGTCAGCAACCGTACTAATTAGCACAATAATCTTTTTGACAGATAGCCAATTCATAAATAATGCAGATGGTGTGTAAATTGGTTTTCGGTTTGATTGGCTTAATCGGTTTATTGGTCCGCATGTAAAGCGGAAGAAGCTACGACGAAAGCCTCATAATAAGCGCTAACGAAAATCTTCAAGATGGTTTATTTCTATACGATTATCTTAGTCGAAAACACCAATTATACTGTATTTAATCGGCCAAGGTTACGCACCAATCCCATCCACATGTTTCTGGAAGAAAAAAGTAATATGTACTAGACGAATTTCGTCTGCTAATGGCGCGCAATTCAAAAGTTATTCAATTTTAAAGTCCGAAGAATATGCTTGTGATAGCCTAAAATCCCTGCCCGTACGTCCAACAAGAATATCTGAGGCATATTATTTAAGCACTACGTAAATTACTTTGCTTTCTCTTGAAGATTATTTAATTGGTCACGGTCAAGGACCATGCGACTCAACTTCTGGGTAAAAATGTCGATGCATTATTGCATTCGTACGATCCTGTTAAAGATACAAAGAGCTAATCCATACCTTTATTTGTAGTATCATAGATAAGCGCCTGCACCTAAAAATTGTTAAATGGGATGATGATTATTTTCAGATATTCGTAAATTTCTTCGTACTTCTTTCAAAATGAATAGTTCTTTTTACTAAACATTTAATTCCATAAACCTATTTGATTGAGCCCTACTTAACTGAAAAAGGGGACTATTCTCGAACTTTTTAACGAGCTAAAAATATTCGGATATATGTGATTTATTGGTCATGAATAAAAACTGTGACAGGCTAGTAATAATCTAACGTCCAGGAAGGGAAACTACAAAGGAAGGATATTACCTATTTTAACGGATATCTTTCCCATTCCAGAAACCGATTATGATCGATGTATTATATTGTCATTTGACAAATAGAAAAAAACGACTTTAAGCAAGCCTGTCTTACTTCTCAACAGGCTGATACGGAATTTGAAAATTAATTGATATTTTATTATTTCCATTCAACAAACATCCAGCAGGCTCCTTAAATCATTTTTTGTTGCAAAGTGTTAGTTCAGTGAGCTTAAGTCGACCCCTCGATCAGGTCTCAAAATTAAATTTGTCTACAGTTAATAAACACCTGTTGCGTGTTTCCACCTTCATTGAACAATTACTGTTGTACCTTAAGAAGAGAAGCTTTATGTTTTGTTTGGTATATTCCAATCCATGCAACCTCAATACAGTTAATGTCCAGGTTTCGCGAGTGCAAAAGCTACCGAAGTAGATTAAATGACTACTAGGTGCAGCTGACCAATGACGCAGACAACTCCGTCAGCTACTTACCAGAACATCGCGAGGAAATTGCCGCCATTCTATAAATGCTTTCGCTTAAAGGTATTTACTTTCGAAAAGCTGAATAGTAATTAGAAGAAAAACATAAAAAATCAACAACGTTAGCAACAACACTGCCTATAACTCACGAGAAGTTTGATACTACATATAGGAGTTGTATATGCATGCTGCACATATGCAGTCAAGTCTGATCATCGAAGCATGTACTTTTAATAGAATCTCGTGTCGTGCCCTTTTTCTCTGAGCTTACATTGAAAGTGTTCATTTGACACATCGTCTAGGCCGAAGAGAACTGACATCTTTCAATTGTTAGGATAGGGTTATCCATGCTCTTTAGGATGTTGAGTCACATGATTACGAAAATATAAGGTTTTTACTATAGAACTAAGTGTGTTGCCATGGTCCGTAGAGCTTTCGTTATGATGGGTAAACCGTAGTCGACCTAGGAAGAGCAGCACACGGACAAACAAACCAAGCTCGCTGAGATGTCTATTTCCTAAATCAAAATACGTTCCTATAGAAGATCTGCAAGCAAACCTAGCAATGTGTACCACGAGATGCAACTTTTAACATATTATGAGCTTGTAGCTTGAGCCGAAAACAATCAGTTTTTTTTATTTACACCTTTCGTGATTTAGGTCTTTCATACTCAGCATGTTGCAGCATGTCATGGTGTTTAATGTTATACAAAAACTAAAGTACAGTTCATATGAATATGCTAAATTGGTTACGTGCCACTATCTCTAACATCCCTTAACCAGATGATGTGTTATGTTTCCGTCAATCTATGTACATACAGATTCATCAACGAGTGATAGGACACGCGCCCTACTAAAGGAAAAAAGAAGCCCATTATGCGCACATGTGGTAAAAGTTCGACCGCAAGCTAGATTTGAGAAAAGCTGGAAAATTTTCTGACAAACGCGGTACATACATACGTACATGGTGATGAATTTCATTCCCGCTTACTGGTTGATATTAAGGTAAAGTTAGAATAAATCGTTCGAGACTATCGTATAGTTAGCCAAAGAATATTTGATAATAACTTAGATAACAATTTTCATAAAATAACACATAGATTTCTGCGCGTACTAATCTTTCATTCTAACCTTAAAATTCTAAATTGGCTTATGAATTGTCGCTGGTTTTCTTATAGACAGTCTGTCAGTTCATCACGTTTGCCAATACATCGTTCGGCTTACAGGACGAACATTTGGCGGAACAGGCTCTGTGTTTGTTCACTTTGGTATGCCCCTAGTTCTGGTCTCTTCTATGCTCTTTGCAAACATGTTCGTATCTTCTTTCGTAGGCAATAATTCCCCTCTCGCCTGCACAGTACACCACACAATCAAGATTAGCAAATATTTCCACCAGAAATATATTACCCTTCGGGGCATTCTCATGACACAGCATCGTAAAACACCGCGAGCGGAGCTGGCCTCGGGCCCCCTGCTTGAGGCTGCCCTGTTCTGAGCTTCCGCGGACCTATGCCGCCAGAAAAGATTTTTGAGATGGTGCATTTGGCCGTTCCAAGTACTATTAGCAAACCAGTGCCTCACATGTGCAACGTATACAAGTACTAGTAGTACGTTCACCCTTTGTGACTTGTTGTCGCTTGCATTTTTGATTCACTTTAGTAGCACTACTGCTAAGGCTATTATCAGGGCAACAGCAGCCGCATCATAACTATCTCCAACCGTTCTGTTTCATACGACGGGCAGTACCAGCAGTAACTTGAGGGAAACGGGACTTAAAGCATGGGTACATTGTACTCTAGCGTCAACGCTTTTCCTTTCGTTTTAACCTCATGATCACCCCGGCTGGCATTGGTCGGCTGGTCAGTTGTTGTTATCACAGCGGTGGTGCCATATCCCAGAAGCTGTTATATCCTTTGTACTTAGCTTGTTTATTAGAGTAACTGCTACCACTACACTATAACTTTCCAAAAACTCTGGTTTACACAGTGACTCACGTGGAAACTGGCTAACCCAGTTAGGTTTAACGCTCAGATTAGCACCTTTTCTTATTGAGTAGAGTTTATTTGAAGAAAGCACTGGCAACAGCTATGACATTTCGCCAATTGATTAAGTACTCAAGCAAAGTTGCTTGATAGAGTTCGCATGATGGAGTACCTTTGCTTGTTTCCAACTAAGAGTAGCCATTCACGCGCAGATCTACTTGCCGGTCTCAGTGCATGCAACTGCTGTTGGTACGTTGTACAGAGAAGGATAAGAAGGGTTGGTAAAGGCAAGCAAAGATTGGTAAAATATCTAGAGGAGAAAAGCACATAAAGATGGAACCTTAGAAGAATTCGCTTATCGGGGCTATAACAAAAGTGGTATGAAAATGAAACTTTTTTCGGCAGGTAGCCGAATAGCTAGGCAATTGAAACTGTAGGAAGGCTCGTTAAACGATAGGCCGATTCGTAGGCGTGCCAGCAAAGACTATTTATCTAGAACACCTATTATGTGATGCATACGAACGGTGGAGCTTTTGTGTTGTTCCACAACGAGAACTATTACAACTATATATAGAAATTATTTTCACTGAGGAAAAGCCAACTTCCATGTCCCCGTGAAGACGACGCATATTAAAAAACAGCAGTTGAAAGTCTAGGAGGCTACTTCACGAATACATACTTTTTATTTTATTTGATTAGTCATTCATTTATAGATAGTGTCCCCACAGTTACTAACAATCTCTGTTTTAATCTGCTAATCAGGCAATACCATGCTCTCTACAAATGCCGCAGTAAATAGAGCGCAACCGACTTCCCACATCTAGCAAGCAAAAAGGAGGTTAGTGGTTCTGGTAAAACTTTGAAAGGCGTTCATACACGTTTTGCGTCTCCAGTCCATTCATGGCTACCGAGTGTTTGTTTGTTCGTTCGTTCGTTCGTTCGTTCGTTCGTTGTAGAACCGTTGAGTTTCAGTTCTAAGTAACAATATAGACTTGCATTAGGGGGTCGTTAACGCGGATGATACAATACTGATTTACTTTATGTATAGTTAGTTATCAGTAAGTGGCACCTCATAACTTCTGGTTGAGAATACTGCATGTGTTGAAACGTGTTTCTGGTGCGTTCAGCTGGATCTCGTTTAGATATTTGGTGTATTTGGACCATGTTCAATGTACTAGTGTGATGTAATATTAGGATCTATATAATATGTTACTGGATATTTGTGACTTGTCTGCGAGAACATGGCGCCTGCATTCGGACCTCAATACTCGGCTAATGTTGTTCGTTTGGCATCCATTCCGTCCATTCCGTTATTACGTCAATTAGCCAGAGTGAACTGAGATAGAAAACCAGAAATAGTTTCCTAATTTGGTTCTGGATCGACGAACCACATTTGTATTTAGCCTTTTCAAGCTAGATCACCAACTCACAAACGATGCAAAAAACATCATATATTAGAAACACTATTGTATATTGTTCAGCCTTCATTGAAAGTGTATAGCACAATAGAAATCGATAGCAGCGGGAAATTCACCACAAATAATAATCGTCTATATTATCTGCATTGGTGAAGCTCTACCACGGAACAAATGAAGTGACTCTCTTCGCATATAGTCAACAGAAAGATCGTTATGTATTCTAATCATACGCGATTCCCTTATGTGCTTCGTCTCAACGTCCGATCAGACGAGCGCGGCTTTACCTGATCCTAGCTTATCTCGTTCCCCACCAGCTATCCACTGTTGACTCTGGCAGCGGAAGAACAGGGAAGCCCATGACTCACCTAAATAACCTCTCGATATTTTCAGATTAAGTTAACGGTGGTGACCGGACGATGCTTATCCAGGTGGTTACTTCATATTGTCATACGAGTCGAAGATATTGTTGTTATGGGCACGGTTATTAATTAAAGAGACCACATTAAATACCTAATAAGATAGAATGTTGGATACACCCAAACTAACGCGGCACGCTAGCGCAGAGTAGAAATCTTGCGGTAACTGCGTATGCTCTCGATCTTGTAACGACCATTAAAATGATATTTCAACTGCGATATAAAGTGTTACCGTAGATGCATCTATTTCGTGTAATAAAGGCGACAATTACAAACCTTGTGGAGACGCTAAGAACTCTCCAGTGGAACTGCGAGAGGCTGCAGCTCTGGCGCACTTTTCCCGGAAGCGCTGGATTGTAAAGACATTTCCGTCCTAATTGAGACTTGGGCAACTGGTCCGTTTCAATGAAGGGCACCTCATTTTGTTTGCAATCATAACATAGGCGATTTCACGCCGTGTATACTAGGCACTAACATCCTGGCCTCCGCGGCCATCGGCTAAGGCTCGTAGTAGCCTTCGTTTCACGCGCTGATTCGGAATCAATGTACGTACTGACGGAGATACTCCTGTTAGTGTACTAGGAGCGCTGTCCTCTCATTCTGTCTAGGCTCTGATCATTGCAGGCCGCTTCAGCGCCCATTTCGACATGCCGAACTCGAGTTACATTATTTTTCTAGATACACCCGCGGACTTTGATTGCTGGCTAATCAATCCCACCGACCTACGATATGCATGAGTTCGGTCATCAACATATTTGCGACGAATATAACCGGGGATGCGGTAAAGTTATTTGTCAGAGGACGCAAGCACTTCTGCTTGCGTCCTCACAGTCCAGGTCACACCTGTCAAACGCCAAGCTGCGTCGCTATGCCTAGATGTATAATGCATCCACAAAGTTCTGCCTATATCTATATATGATGAATACCGAAGCTTATGCGCAGCATCTGCTTGAAATCCTCTACTCTATAGAACAGTCCTTCCACCTCCCCTCGGAAACATAGGTTGTGGTTCAATTGGCCCAGGAGGCCCAGGTGGCTTATACCGGAAACACAGGCCGAGCTCTATCTTATATCGTCCATTTTCAAAACGATTTGTCGAAAAATGTATACATCGTAAAGGCAACAATATCTTGAATGGCTCAAGATCCGTTTGATTGTTTATATAGAACGTAAACCATACAAGTGGCCAACGCGGCATGGAAGTCCGACAACTTCCCGATTCGTCCCTCACGAATCACTTCTCGGGAATGTTTACGTCACGGGGTACGATAACACGAGTGGTATCCTCTCTGACCGCAGCGTGGAAAGAAATTTCAGTACAACGCGATATTCTTTAACAAGACTTCACACAGCTGGATCTAGTACTGGGTCTTAGAAGCCTACGCAATAAGGAAGCGACCGGTCCGGATAGAGTCTAACACGAATACCTTAAATGCGCGATTGTTCTGGACGGCACTGTTTACGAATGTCTATATCATAGTGCATTTTTAGCCCAGTGGGAGGATGCTACTCGATTAGTGATTTCAAAGGTAAAGGTCAACTTGGTTGCGCCGTCAACATGGCAGGGAATAGCGAAGAAATGTCTTTATTATAAGTTACTCTGCGGCTTGCTGACTAAGAGATTAAACAGCTATTTGATAAGCTTACGAATTATCCCTACGGAACAACATAGATTTCGGAGAGAGCGTTCCACAAAAGGCATCTAGGATCCTGAGGGCCTGCGTCAAGAGAGCACTGGCCACGCCACGCAGTCCGCTATGCGCAGTGTTCATTGACTTAAATGCAGCCTTCGACTTGACACCCCAAAAACGAGGTAATACTAACGCTGACCGAGGCGGATATCTTAATAAATGCGCTCAATCTTTTCGTTGTGACTCGATGACAAAGTTCCCAAGCTTCCGCTATTCAAACAGTTAATTGGCCCGGTTCAGGGGATCAACCTAATTCTTCTCCTATTCGTGGTCTTGCTGAAGGGCTCCGTTGATCAAATAAGATGGCCGAAGAAATTAAAGATTCATGGGTCGAACGGTCTCTAAGCGTAACAAGTTAAAGCTCGGCTCCACGACACAATCACAGACTGCAGTGTGACTGAGGTGAGATTGGACCGGCCACTGACCTGACCAAGATAGAAACGAAAAAGTTTAGAAAGGTAGATAGTGCAGCAGCCACTGACACCTTGTATTTTGCCGGGTTTCGCCTTTTGCCTATTTAAACTGCTTTTCGTACTTGCTTGCTGTTCTTCCCCGCGAACGGCAGAAGTTTAGTTGTATGTCGCCGAAAGACGCAGGAAGGCACCGCATGGGCGATCAAATATCCTCATCGTTTACCCTCTAGCAACCGCTTCCAGCCTTTGACCTTATAGTATTTCCGATCGCAACTTATATTTACGCCTCATTTGGGAAGATTTTAGAAAACGTTAACCAAATAAATGGCGTCAAAAGATCATTGGAACTAGATACAGTGAACCGAAATTGCCCTCTGTATCATCTAACCGACGCGCTACTTTTATGCAAGGACCTACGTATTCGCTTTAGGCTCTCAGCAACGTGACCAGAAACAAAAATTTGCGAAAATTGATGGTTATTTCCTTACTTCGGGCGTAAGAGGGAACAACGAATGGAGAGGAAGGAACCGGCTAAACACATATGCCGCCGTCAATCGTTTTGTTGTGTATGGGTTCCACGAGAAACTCTGCAAGGAACGAGGCTTGCACAAACTGAACGACACATGTGCTTCAGATGTCATGTCGCTTGTTGGCCTTGATGGCTGGCGAATCTCTCAGAATAGTTTTAGAAATTCGACAAGGCTCATGTAACGGATATGATGCGAACTGTTCTATATGTCCTTCCTGACATTAGGGTATTGTGTTATTGACTTGTAAAATTTTTACGAAGCCCTTGACTAGTAATAGCAACAGTTATTCGCTGGTTAATTTGACATAGGCGACACGTGTTTCCAGGATATTGGTAAATGAGCGGGTTTGCCTGTTAGCGTACGTTCATAGATTCTATATATACACGTATAAATTCGAGTGATAATCCGCTTTAGTTAGTCAACAATGTACGAAGTTAAAATTACTCTTACTCACAATTTATTTAGGCCACTCAATCTTAAGAAATTTTGAAATTGAGAAAAACCATTAGCCTAAAGCTGGCTATTTCTTAAAAGTAAGTAATAAATGCTAAATTTATCTGTCGTATTCATCGTGTGCAGAAGAAATAATTGGATCTTCGTGCGACTTATTCTTTTATACCGTCCATTTTATACTTGAGTAGCAATGTTTGACATCGCGTAACCTGTGTATATCCTGTGTAGTTGAAAATCATCTTTTCATTCCCAGCCAAAAGTGTGTGTATAAATCTATCAAAGCAACACGCCAAAACTAGCTCTAAGCTGATGATGTATCGATGCGCCGTTCGATATAGCCATACAAGTACATCTATTTCGCTGTAGCAACTGTCTTATTAATAGCAAAATCTTTAGGAATCGACCTTTGGTTCCTAGCAATCTGTTACCACCATTACAGATAACGTACAATAGTTGGCCGCTTTTCCCGATATTTACCATTATACAAGACCAAATAATTGCCTAATAATGTATCTAACGAAAAACAAGGAAGCATAAGGCAGCAGTAGCTCGGAATTCTAATTTACGTTCGTGACGCGACCGCTCGCGTTATCTTTCTCGTACGTTAAGCGTTTTCGACCGTAGCTATTGCATTTAAACGACTCAGACGAAAGGGTTCAAGAAGAGCTTTAAACACTGAAAGAAACATTTTAGCCAATAGGGCTTGACCGCCGTCTAATAGGATTCGTTGATCATATCCGTATACGATAACGTTCATAGAAATTTTCATCTCTATCCAGTCAGCTCGGATCGAAGCAACAGCTTCCCGTCAAAAACGATAATACAGCGCTTGTCGTAGAAGTTTTTACGAGGATTTTACCGGCACGACGGGATAACGTCTGACTTTTTTCTATCATCATCATCATCATCGTATAT